CTGGTTGCTGGGATGGCATCATTTCCATGCTCAGGGTCAAAATTCTGTTTCCCATAACAGAAAATTGAACAGTGCAAAAATATAAAAAGAATAACATATCTCATACAAGTGATTGTGTGGACCGGGCCTGCCTAGGAGAGTTGCCCCTCAAGTAAGGCCAATGCCTGAATTTTGGTTCATGTGCAGAGAGGGAAGCACCCGGATCCAGTAGGTCAATGGTGAAATCTTGAATGATGTCACTGAAGTCTATTCTTCTCTTTCAGTGCTTAAAATTGCCAAATCTGTCATCAACTCTTGTGTCAAGCAAGGAAGTAAACATTTTACTTAAATAATAGAGGTAGTAAATTCAATGAAGAGAGGCAATCCTTGGCCCACTCTTCAAGAACTAAAATGAAAATTTCATTATTCAGATTGGTAATAAGCTAGAAAAGTTATTGTTTGGTCATTTCAATCAGATGTTTAAGCCTAGGCTAGTATCCAGCAAATTAATATGTAGAAGCAATAAATTTTGTGGGCCTAGGGTTAGTTTGCCCCCCTTTAACCTCACCCTCTCAATGTGAATGGTAGAAGGATAAACCAAGCAGAGACTGTTAGTAAACTTCTGCTAGGTAGTGCATGGACTTTACCAAACACACACATTCATAATGTTCTGATTATAGCAAAGTTAATGTAATTTTCTTTTATGATAAAAACATTAGAAGTGATTGTGATGTCAGCATATTTGTTTATTAATATTTATTCATATCTGGCTTTACAAGGGCTTTGTTAGGAAGGAGTAGATTGTTAGGCTTACTTCATTATTGTTACCACCGTTATGAGATTTTTAAAGATAGAAATAGTGAAATAAAATACTTTTCTTGGTGAAAATTCAAGTCCTTCCAGGGCCCTCTGTGTGTTAATAAATTAGTCAAACCTAACCACAATGGACAGTGTATGTGTTTATACATGAACTTTTGGCATTGTTGATTTCATAACATTGTCCCAGTCTTCATTAAGAAGATACTTCAGAACTAAAGGACTGGATACAATAGAATTGATTCTGTTATGATAGTTTGATAAGAAATTACCAGATATGAAAATCTAGCATTATTTTAAAGTTGAATTACAACTCGGTTACCTTTGCCAGGTCAAGACCAAAGTATGTGACCAGCCATTTCCCCAGAGAGTCCCACAGCAAGAATTCAGCTTTTCAGACCATGAAGCTGTACGAACAGTACTTACTATTACCCCAATGAAAGGTGAGTTAGTATTTATCAATGAAGTGTTGCAATGTTTTGATTTTTTTATTTTATTTACATTATAGTTGTGAACTTTGGAATCTCTGTTTTTTCTCCTATTTTATGGGTAGGTTTTTTCTTTTTTGCTTTCAAAAGTTTTTCTTAACCCCTTTGACCTAGGTGATGTGACCATCACGTCATGAAAATATTTGGTTTGAAGGGTGGGTTGACAAGAACATGCTGTTATGATAAAGTGAATAAAGTGGTGATAAAGGCAGCAATTTTAATTAAAACAAGAAGTACCTGTGTAGAAGTTTTGGAACTACAAAACATAAGAAAACCTAGTATTATGTTGTTAGCTGTTTTGGATGGGAAAGAGACAGCTAGTTGACAGTTTTTTCTCTCCTGAGATGAAACACACTATAGCTTGCTGAAACAGCCAATGTGTAAGAAAAAGCCCATCCCCAGGGCTTGCCAACTATTCAGGAACAGTATGATGGATTAGCTAACCTATTACCTACAGTATAGGCTCCTTTGGTATCTTATGTACAAAATTATGCACTAAGTAGTTTGTACCTGTATTTCATGGATACAAGTATTTTAGATAACATGATAATTATAATGTCAATAATGATAATAGTTATAAATATTAATGGAATAGAAAAAATCCAAAAATGGAAGGAAAGAGGAAATCAGCACTTGTGGAGCCTCCTGTGTGCAAACACAATTAACAAAACAAATTACATTGGACAGTCCATGTTCTTGACAGCAGTGGGTTAAGGCATACATACAAAATGAGTTGATTCATTTAGAGTTACAGAAGCTGAAGAAAAGAAAAAGGATTACTTCCATTTAAGGATTGCAGCAGCTTTTTACCTGCAGTGTGAAGTTTTGAATAGATCTTGGAAAGAGGGCATGCATGTACAAAGTTGTTCTCAGACCAGTCACCCAACAATGGATTTATTAAATGCTTTGTCAATTTAAACTTGCACCTATAATACAAGGGACAACAGTTATGAGAAGGAGTGCATTAATGCAAACATATCCAAGCTTATGTTGTAGAAGAAAGTTTAAAATGTACAAAACATTTAGTAAACACGTCATTGTCGGTGTTTGGTCTAAGAACACCTTTGGGCATGTATACCCTCAAATATTCTGCTTGTTGTTATTCTTCTATTTCTTATTTTTTGTCTTTTTGTTCTTGTAGCCCTTTTTTTCTTATACTAATTCTTGTTCTTCCCCTCCTCCTCCCCTTTACTCCCCTCCCATCCTTTCCCCCTTTTCCCCTGCCATTTCTCATACTTCATTTCAGTTTGCATTTATTCTGTACATCACAATGGGTATATTTCTTGTACTTTTCTTTTTGAGAACAAACGTAAAAGCCATTTTTTGGGCCCTTTCTATTTTATTTTATGTGCTTGAATCTCAGAAATCAGACAGCAATAATCTTTGATGCGGCTGTGAGCTAGAGTGAATCAAAACAAAGCTGATGTAAATGTTTTGAAAAGCAATAAGTGATAAGCAGAACTGTAATGCTTTCTCCCATAATCACCTGCAAACTTAGTTATGTGAGTAAAATATGCCAAGTGCATGGGTGTAAAGGAAGTTATTTTTAACCCTCTTTCTCATAGCAGACTTGCCTTTTTTGAGTATTTGAATTTTCTGTGGCGGATCTTACAAAGATGGGGGTTGCAAAATAGAAAGGCAAAAAGTAGTTGGGAGAATTGTATGTTTTTACACACACACACACACACACACACACACACACACACACACACACACACACACACACACACACACACACACACACACACACACACACACACACACACACACACACACACGCATATACACGCACACGCATGCGCAAATGCATACGCACATGCACACGCATACGCAAATGCACACACATGCGCACGCACTCGCACATGCATGTGCACACACATGTGCACACGCACTCGCACACGCATGCACACGCACATGCACTTGCACACGCATGCACACATTCACACGCATGCACACACATGAGCACATGCACACGCACACACATGCACACACGCACATGCATGCACACACACCTGCATGTGCACACGCACATTCATGCGCAAGCGGTCATGCAAGCGCACACACAAATGCACGTGCACTTGCAAGCACATGGGCGCACGCACACACGTGCACATACACACGCATACGTATAAGCACATGCATAAGTACATGTACACGCACACGCATGCGCAAGCGGTCATGCAAGCGCACACACAAGTGCATGTGCACATGCAAGTGCACGTGCATGCGCAAGCACATGGGCACACGCACACACTTGCACATACACACGCATACGTACACGCACACGCATAAGTACATGCACACGCACATACACAAGCACACACATGCACACACGTGCATGCACACACATGCACACACACACACACGCGCATGCACACACGCGCATGCACACACGCGCATGCACACACGCGCATGCACACACGCGCATGCACACACGCGCATGCACACACGCGCATGCACGCGCATGCACACACATTGCACACACACACACACACACACACACACACACACACACACACACACACACACACACACAACACACACACACACACACACACACACACACACACACACACACACACACACACACACACACACACACACACACACACACACACACACACACACACACACACACACACACACACACACACACACACACATATTCATGCTAGGAAACCCATATTTAAGGCATATTTATATTTTCTTGTTAATAGTTGTTTGTTAATTGTTTAATTTTAAATAATTCTCTACAGGCAAACAAAAATATCTGTTTAACCTAAGGCCGCAGCTGATGTACATACAAGTTATACCCATTGTGAGTTTAGTTTGATAATTGTATTTACACAGAGATGCCTCCTCAATTGCCTAGTCACCAGTGAGGCAATCACTTGTCTGAGCTATATCACGTTTAATTTTTTCTTGAATTCTGGAAATAAAACAACACTACAGGGAACATCACATTTTCCTGTGGCACTGGGTTAAGTTCAGATAAGTAAATAAACAGTTGTTTTATTTTGTCTCCAGTTTTCTTAGCAGTATATATAATAGGCAGTATATATTGCCTATTGTTACCTGTCGGTGTATAATGTATATATATTGATATTCCTATTTTATGGTTTCAGGCACTGAAATTATGGAAGAAATACCAAGTGTGCAAGCCAAGACAGATGCCCTGCTGGAGTGTTCTGCAGTGTGTGAGCAAGGCCTAAAGTCTGTAGGCTCTCAGCAGAAAATTTACATTGCCCTGTCAGTCCTGTGTGCTATTGTTTTACTGGTGTGCCATATTGTGATATGTACAGAGTCATCGTCTGGTGTGACCCGTGGGTTCCTAGGCCTGTTGCTGATATTGTTTACATTCTGTCTTTCATACTTGCTCTTTATGGCAACAATTTTCTACAGATTTGAAAGTAATACAATTAAAGAAAAAGGGGATAGAGCATCAGCTGGATGAGTTGAGGGAGAAAAATGCACAAATTTTTGAAGAGGAGAGGAAGAGGTCTCAGTCATTCATCAAGTGACCAAGGATCAGGGGGTTGGAATCAAATGATTGTGATAATGGCGCTGAGCTGCTGTGAAAATTCTGAATTCCAAAGACAAGGGTTTTGCTGTCTTTCTAAGGAAATCATACACATTATCTATGACTAATAGAGCATGAAGAAATGATTCATTAGTATTAAATCCATATTATGCACATCAGTTTCCTACCTGTCAAACTTCTCAAGTGACAAAAAAAAAAAAAAGATCTTGTAACTAGGGATCTCTCCATCATCATCACATAAACACAGTATTAAACTAAAATTGCCATGTTTATGACTTAGTGAGAATTATCCTTTTTAGTGTAAAGCACTACTGTTGTATTATAAAGTTTGTAGAATCTTATTGAAATGCATGAGAATTTGCACAATATGAGAAGACACTTTTGTTTGTAACTTTTTTCATGCTCTTTACAGTTTTGGACATAGATTTTTCTTATTACTAATCCTAATTGAAATGTTTTGATAAAACAATATGTCTGTCTTGCTGTGATCATGAAATCAATTGAACCGAATAGCATTTTCTATTAGATAAGAAATAAGAAAAAAATATGCCTAGCTCATACTGCTAAGAAACAACTTCAGTGATTTTATGAGCTCAAAGTAGTTCTTTGCTAGTTCATTAGTTTTAAATGGCTTTCCTACACAAGGTATTTGACAATAACTCTGTATAAATGTTTTAATGACAAAACCTTTTTCTACTTGTGACAAAGTTCCCCTCTATACAAACTAAACTTTTCAGGTCTGTAAGTTTTTCATGTAATTTAAGTAGTGTTAATCAATCTTTTAAGACAGCAGTGAATATTATAGTTCAATTTTATCAAGGGCATATATTTTTGTGTAACATGTTAAGCACCTCATTGTCTTGATATTGACTTTAAATCATTATATTCCTAGTCTCTATATAGTGATGGACACAGTCTCTATGATGTAGAACAACAAAAAGAGAGTAGATTTAGAGGACAGATCTGTAGTAGGTGAAGGTATTCCTTAGGGATGTATGTTGTTTATTGTTGTTAAGGTTACTGGCTTGTGTAGAGAATAGATGAGGGTAATGAAAAGTGAAAAATGGGAACTAGAATTGCATGGGAGTGGACTTGTAGTGATTTATGGATGTTAGGAAAATGTCTTGGATACATTTTAGCCAATAAAAAAAATGCTATTTTTTATATAACTGCAATATATTTGATTTTAAAGTGGGATGGCAAAGCAAGTTCTGAAAGGATAGATTTTTTTTCAAAATGCTTTTGATATGGACATTTTAAAGTAAGGACAGAAAAGAGAGTGCAGTTTTAATCCATTGGTGCTGGGTACTTGCACTCTCCACTGTGATTTTATTATATTAATTTTATTTATACATAGATGACTTCACAAGCACTTACCCAACACCAAGGAGTCTTTCATGAAGTATACCTTTTCTCACCTCTTTTACCCCATTCCTTGAATTCACATTAAAAAGTTATATTTCAATTGTTATTGACTAATAATAGAAAGAAAGATGAAAACATCTCTTCCTAAAGATTAAAGGTATGGAGTAAACTGGTGAGAGAGGGTAGCCCTTGTAATTCTGGGGATATTTATGGGTAAAAAAGAAGTATAAAACACCATCATAGTGGACAGTGTATGCAGGCACTCATGGCATCGATTGGTTGATAAACTTGTTTCTCAGTCTTTCAAGGAAGTAAGAAATTGAAAATTGAGTTTTAATTATGGTGATTGTATGAAAAAAACTTGGCAATATTTTTAGGTAAGTCAGATTTTTTACTTCTTGTAAAGAAGTTTGTTTTACCTACATGCTAAGCGACAAACGGTGATAAGTATTACGATTGATATTGGTGGAAAATGATTGTTTTCTTGCTTTGTTCTCTATTTTAAAAAGAAATAATTACTTGTCAGTATTTCTGACACTTTAGGATTAGAATGGATAATACTTCACATGCATGTGGTGCCAGTTAATGTGCTTCTTTAAAATACTTTCAGGATTATCACACAACTTTATTTTGGTAATTTAACTATATTCAAGTGAAATACATATCCTGCATTTTGATAGATAAGATGTATCCTTTTCGAAGGAGTGTTCCAGTAGTGAATCAGTGTGCTTCAAATGTTCCTCAATCTTGTTTAAAAATCTGGATAAGGATATGAATGTCTACCATGAATTTGTGTATATGTTTTCTAACAGTTGTAAGGCAAAATTCTGTACAATGCTAAACTATTAAACTAAGTCAGGTAGTGCATTTTTTTGTACAGCTTTGGAAAAATACCTTTTTTTTTTTTTTTTTTACAAATATAAGAATGTTTTTCACATTATTGATTTGTAATACTGTCTGCATAGTGTTCATGTAAGTACTTAATGAAATAGTTCATGAAAAATATAAGTTCAACATTTTTGACATTATACCAGACTGAATCAGCTCAAGCCATCTGAAGAATGTATACGTATTTTGCCTCTCAGAAAGTTCATCCTTTAATAGTTATGTGTAGTTTTGAATGTTGTTTTAAGAGCTTTACTTGTAATACTACCAACCTTGCATGTTCAAAGAAGGAATATGTACTTATTATAGTGCTGGTGGCCTCTTCATTCTTATACTCATACATCTGAAAAAGTGCATGATTTCTTTCTTTCTTTCATTAATTTTTCCAAGGTCGTCTGAAACAGGTAGCTCTACTCTGTCATGGTGAAAATCCTAGTTGGTAACTCCCGAGCTAAGCCCTGCCTCTTTGCCTTTATTCATTGTAAATATTAGATATTTTGAAAATTCTTTTTCTTTTTGTTTTTTATTATTTTTCTACAGGGTTAAAAAGGGGCTGGGCTGATAATGTCATCACGTTTACCAATAGGAATGTTCTGTAAGATAGCAGATATAGCTAGATACCCAATTATTTGTATAATTTACTCAATATTATTATGATTACCAGAAGTAAAACAGAAATTCCCTTTTGTATTTATGGGCTCAACAAGCTAAATGGATGTGGAGGTAGATAGTTATATGTACCTTGGATTTTTTCTTATTTACTGCAGGACTTAGGAAAATAATTTTCATTTGAAAATCTTGCTTTATTGATTCACTTTGTTAATGTAAAGAAGGTACCAAGTGGAAATGATGCAAGATATACATTTCAAAACCTTTATTTACCTTAATCTTTTGTACAGCATACTTACATGATGTTACTGTGACAGGAAAATGGTTTAGAGATGATGAAGGCAGTACCATAGCTCTATAAAAAGGAAACTAGTAGAGTGGGTTGAATAATATCCCTCTCCTAAAAACAAATTTATCAATAAGCGTGATACTTAATATAAGGATATTTATTTTGATGTTTGTTACTCCAGCATCATTGGAATGATATTTGCGTTAATGTAATATGTCACAATCATCCTTGAGTCTTCAGTTTAATGCAGTAATTATGTTACAAAATATGATTTGCTGTATTTTATTCCTTTGTTTCTGTATTGTCAATTTAATAGAAAAGTTCCTCCAATAAAAAGATTAACATATCTTTTTATTGTTACTGCTGCAACTTATTCTTATTTTATGTCATGTTAAAATTAGTTATCTTAACATTTATAATATGCTTTCATAAAGAGAGATATAGCACTTGATGTAATCAACCTTAAATAATCTTTATTAGAAGCCAGTGTCAAAAATGGGTCTGTAAGATCCAGTCTTACCATTATTTTACTTTAAACCTCTAGTTTCTAGTTGCTTTTTTATGTTCTTTAAAGCATAGGCTGTTAATTTCATCTGCCTTTGTTTGTATGTTGATACCAGGTTTTGTTGTGTCCCATACATGTTTTTAATTGCTAACACAACCAGGCATTTTGTATTCAACAAAGGGGCCAATACCATTACTGTTTGTATTACAACATAGTTATGTGGATTATGTGTTGTTAACTAGCTTACACACTTGTCATGTGATATGCATTTTTTATTGAAAGGCATGTATTTATAATATTAAGCCCTGTGGAAAACGTTCACATAATTCTGATGTATTTGCATTGTACAGAGGCAATTATTATTTATACTTTGCTTTAAATTGATTAAGCAGTTTATGGTAATGTTTGAAAGAGAGTTCACATAGGGAATTCAAAACCTCAAGTATTAAGTAATGTGTTTTTCTCTTATCACTTTTATTTCAGTTTAGCCATCTAGGTAAATTTCATGCCATGGGTACAAAAGAGAAGGAAAGGATATTGTGATCTGTTTGTTAGGTTACAGGTGTGATACAAGACTGTAAAGTGGGACCATTTAAACTATTGCTCATATAAACTTAGGCTGGGTCAGCTGTAGCATTGCATTCCTACTTGCATTATATTTAATTTAGGCTAGATACCTAATAGTGTCCACTTGTTTTTCTTGCCAGTATTATTTTTTTTATTTTTATAGTTCAAATTGTTATTGCAAGTTACAAGTATAACTTCTCTTTCAATTTCTTTTCCTTAAAGCTCACAAAGGGATATCATTTCAGATTTTTAAATTTTTTCTTTTGTATTTTTTGTTCTTTAATGCATTTGTTCTTGCCTCTCTGATGGTGACCTACTTCTTAAAGATTGGTTTGACAGTTGTAATTATGAAGTCAAATTCATTGTTCACTTTCTTTTCCAAGTCATTGGTTTGTAATATTATTTCATCACTTTTAATTAAAGTTTGTTATTTATAAGAAACAAAGGTTCTTAATGCCCAAGGACATAGATTGGCCTTGGGTTAAATCTAGTACATAATGAAGCTTTAAATGTATTCAAAGAATCAGATGGGGGAAGAATTTTTAAGTAGGTAAACTTTATAGGGCAGCAGTGTTTCCTTTCTTCGTGAAAGTAGTAAAAGGAAGTCGTAATATACCAATTAGAAATGCTTAATAGACCTATTTCCTCTGTGATTTTCAAATAATGACAATAATCTAAAATCAATGGAAAAATTAGGATACGTGATATCCTCTTCGTGATTTTTTTTTTTTTTTTTTAATGAATGTTTATGGTCTTATAGACTTAGATTGTGATATCCATTATGAATGGGTAATAGACCAAACCATAAAGTGTGCTTAGATTGTTTTAGGTAGTATTTGCCTAAAAATAGTTTCTATTTTATTGTGTGTAAGCATATATCAATACAGTACTACCATGTGCCAGTTTTCTGTAAAGGTTTATGCTTTTCCATAATAATAAAGGAAATAAAAAGGCTATGTAGAGTGTTTTTATTTTGATCCCATGATGACAATATAGAAAGCAATACAGAGAAGTTGAAGAGGAGAGTGAGAATGAGGGTGAGGGTAAAGGTGAGGGTGAGAGAGTGAGGGTGAGGGTGATGGTGGGGATGAGGGTGAGGGTGAGGGAGAGGATGAGGGTGAAGGTAGGTGAGGGAGAGAGGGAAGGAGGGGGAGGGAGGGAGAGAGAGAGAGAGGGAGGGATTAATCTATATATTTTTAGTTAGACAACGTTCACTGAGTGACTACTGATTTTTTATCCTCAATGCTAGGGCCAGAAAATAGGGCATTGGCTCAGGCAGGGAGCTTTTCAGAAAATATGAAAACCTGCGTAATTTGATACAAACACTAAATTATTAGTACTTTCATTAAGACACACAAGGATACTCAAAGATGTGTTGACGGGTACTAAACAGCTACAATTAATGGGGTATGAAAATGAACGGATCGGGTACTGTTGTGCTGATCGGAAAACACTAGAGTGCTTAAAAAAGAAGGTGGGTCATGGTATGCATTAATAACAACTGCTATGAAAGTTCGTACCATGTAAATGCATAGCTTTTGCTTAGGAGATTAACATAGCCGGATTAGATAATCACATTCTATCAGGCACATTGCAAAAAGATAGAATTTCACATGTTTCCTTTGTGCAATAATAAATATAACTCCAATACATGTGCACTTGAAAGCTAACGAAAACAAATAAAATGGAAAAATGGAAGATAAAGACAGCATAAATGGCGAAAATATGACTGTCATAATGGTAATATGTGAAAATGACGAACTATAATAATTGAGGGAAATTGTATTATCTACAATTGCCGTATACATTTTCATACCTTTAACTATAGAAACTGAAGTGACGCTTAGTAATATATACATATATATATATATATATATATATATATATATATATATATATATATATATATATATATATATAAAACGCTGTTAAAGTAAAAAAAAATCAGCTTGATGAAGATATGTAGACTGGAAGGGAGGGGAGAGAGAGAGAGAGAGAGAGAGAGAGAGAGAGAGAGAGAGAGAGAGAGAGAGAGAGAGAGAGAGAAGAGAGAGAGAGAGAGAGAGAGAGAGAGAGAGAGAGAGAGAGAGAGAGATGAAAATATGAATATTGTGATTTTACGAATTCTACTCTAATTACATACCATTCTTCAATATGTGAAGCTTCGGGATAATTGCACATAATTGCATTGCTATAAATAAATACCATATGAAGTAATCAGCGACGTAAGCGGTGTTAGATTAAATTATAAGCAGAAGCAGCATGCCTGGTTAAGATATGCTCGCTAGTGCTAATACTACAATATTGCAACCCTGCTTTAATAAGAGCTTGCTTGTCGGCGCAACCATTTCTCGGCACAGTATGCGTGCCGTGCGTGTGTGTGTGTGTGTGTGTGTGTGTGTGTGTGTGTGTGTGTGTGTGTTGTGTGTGTGTGTGTGTGTGTGTGTGTGTGTGTGTGTGTGTGTGTGTGTGTGTGTGTGTGTGTGTGTGTTTGTGTGCGTGCGTGCGTGCGTGCGTGCGTGCGTGCGCGTGCGTGTGCGTATGTGCGTGCGTGCGTGCGTGCGTGCGTGCGTGCGTGCGTGCGAGTGTGTGTGTGTGTGTGTGAATACGTGCGTACATCTGTGCATGCGTTCGCGCGCACGTGCATGTGTCGTGAAGCTTCAGCATTGTTGCATGGGCCTTTTTACTTCACCCAAATAAACCCGAAAACGAAAATGTAAGAACCTGCTCTCCCCGCCCCCTTGCCTGAGTCCCCATAATTGGATGGTTCCGTCAGTCTGGAGCCGAGACACCCAAGGGGCCGGAAACCCTTCGAGTGTTCGCCGTGGCAGGTGTCGTTCGGAGTAACAACCCTTCTTATGTGGTGCTGTTTCCTGCGTTTACCCTTGTCACGGTGATTACTGACTGACAGACAGAGACTTCTTTTCACAGACGGTGTTTTTATTCTTATTATTACCATCAACATCATTATTGATATATTTATCATCATTATCATTATTTTATTATTATTACTACTACTACTACTAATATTAATAATGATAATAATATTAATAATAATAATTATTGTTATAATTGTTATCATCATCATTATCAGCGTCATCATCATCAGATCATCATTATCATCATCGTCATCATCATCATCATCATCATCACCATGATGATGATTGATGATGATCATTAGCATTATCACTAATAACAATAATGATAATGTTGGTAAAAATAATAATAGTAATGATAACAATAATAATAATAATGATAATAGTAATAACAATAATAAAGTTAAAGTAATGATAATGATAATCATAATAATGGAAATAATAGTGATAATAATAGTAATAATGATAAAAACAATTATGGTAATGATAATAATAATAACAATGAGAATGATAAAGACAAATGATAATTATTGATATAATTGTCAGTTTTGGTTTTAGCTATAGTCATTGTTATCATTATTGTCTTTGTTATTGTTATTGTTACAGTTTATAGTTATCATTATCCATATTGTCATCATTCTATTATCCTTATCATCATTATCAATATCATTAGTACTATCATTATCATTATTATCATCAATATCATTTTTAATATCATTACTATCATTACCATTACTAGTATTACTATTGTAATTTCTATTACTATTATTATTATTATTATTATCATTATCTTTATCGTTATTAATGTCATTGTCATTCTTCTTATTATTATCATTATTATAATTACTATCATTATTATTATTATTATTATTATTATTATTATTATTATTATTATTTTTATTATTAGTAGTATTGTTATCATTATTATCATCGTTATTATTATTATCATTAATATTGATATCATTATTATTATTATTATTATTATTATTATTATTATTATTATTATTATTATTATTATCATTATTGTTACTATTATCATTATTATTAATATCATTATTATTATTATCATTATTATTATTATCATTATCACTGTTATTATTATTATTTTTATCATTATCATTGTTATTGCTTTTGTTATCATTTTCGTTATTATTATCATTATTATTATCATTATTGTTATTATTATCTTTATTATTAATATCATTATTATCATTATCATTATCATTGTTATTATCATTGTTATTATCATTCTCATTGTTATTATCATCATTATCATTATCATTATCGTTATTATTTCATCATAATAATGGTAATTAATGATGATAATGATAATGATAATGATGATGGTAATGGTAATGATAATGATAATGATATAATGTAATGGTAATGGTAATATAATGGTAATGATAATGATAATAATGATAATGGTAATAATGGTAATGTAATGGTAATGGTAATAATGGTAATAATGATAATGGTAATGATAATGGTAATGATAATGGTAATGATAATGGCATAATGGTAATGATAATGTAATGATAATGGTAATGATAATGGTAATGATAATGGTAATGCTAATGTAATAATGATAAATGATAATAATGATAATAATGATAATGATGATAATGATAATGATAATGATAATGATAATGATAATGATAAATAATAATAATAATAATAATAATATAATAATAATTATAATTATAATTATAATTATAATTATAATAATAATAATAATAATAGTAATAAAGATCATAATGATGATAATCATAATGATAGTAATAATAAAAATGATAACAGTACTACTACTACTACCATTATCATTATCACTGCTATTATTATTATTATCATTATTACAATCATTATTATCACCATCATGATTATTGTTATTATTATCATTGCTATTTTTATTGATATCATTATTATCCTTACCATTATTAATGCTACTATTATTATCATCATAATCTCTATCGTTATAACTATTATCACAATTATTATCAATATCGTTATTATTATCATTATTACTTTTATTATTATTATCATCACCATTATTGCTGTTATTACTATTATTATCATTACTTTCATTATCATCATTATCATTAGTGCTGTCATTACTATAATCATAATTATCTATACTATCATCCTTGTAATTATCATCATTATGGATGCACGTTACAACTTATCATTTATAATGATGAATATGAATCGGTTTAACTGACTGATAATTACCTTCATAAATGAGAATAAAGGAGAGGAATAAAACAACAATTTCAAACGTAAATGATGGACATATTTATTGCTTGTTTAAATTTTATTCGGAGGAAATGATGGAAAAATGTTAGAAAATTATCATATGCTTGGGCACTCAGGGGCGGGTCCAGAGAATGTTCTGGTGGGGGCACAGGGGGTAAGGACAATAAATCTGGGGGGGGGGGGCCCAAAATAACACAAATTAAGGCTGCCCACTTCAATGTTTATATTGTACAGTTACAGATTGTTTCGATCTGGCTGTGTGTATATTGTATATTAATATATGTTAATATCATATATTAATATACAAATATCCTATTTCAATATATAAATACTTTATATTAATATATAAAGGGGAAAATGACCAATCAGATTGGGGGGGGGGAGGGGGGCTCTGAATATAATTGCTTTTTCGTACGTTTCACTTCACAATTCCGTTCGTATCATTCATTTTTTTCTTTTCCTTTAATGTATTATTAGTATTTTTTCATTTCTTATCTTTACGTGATATTTTTATCTGCTCTCAAATTGTCTATGCTAGGACGGTACATAAAAAAATCACCCTCAGAAAATATATGAAAATGGCAACTCTTCATGTATCGACCTAAGGCATCGTCTCCTTATTGAAGAGACAGAAAAATAAACAAGAAAGGCACGGTCAGAAAAAAAGAAGAAATGAAAGTAAAAAGAGAGAGAGAAAGAAAAACAGAACAATGCATTTCAGAGGCACACTTTCAGTAAGTCGGGCCAGAGTTCACAGCCGCCTGCCTCCTTCGATGCCCTTTGAGACACGACGCCGACCCGAAGCCGCCTCCGAAACGGGCTTTCCC